TCCTTTCTTTCTGATGTGCACCGGGCTATGCGAGTTTACAACTCCTCCAGAAACTATACCTGGATGATGGAAGCTTTCAGCGGTGCTTCCAACTGAGCCCAGCCCAGTTTGATTTGTTGTTCGTGTCAGCAAGAGGATTTCCCCTCGAAACACCAACAGCAGGTGCTACCTCATAATCGCACCCCTACAGGAGCAAGCTCTTGATTGGTCACTTCGGCTCGAATGTCCTCGTTCAGATTTTCCAACTTGAACAATTTGCGCATCAAATGCACAAAATGTTCAATTCACACCGCTTCATACGTGCAAATTGCATCAATCACATCACTTCATTTGTGCCAATAGGATGTCTATTCGTGTCTTTGCATTGATTTAACATGTAAATTACTCGCATTTGACGCTTCATCCACATCTGTTAACGCACCAATAAAAATGTTAATAAAAGTAATTTATTAAAACTTTGTTTCAAACTTCAAAAGTTGTTGGAAGTTGTTGGTCCCATAATGCTACAAAAAGCATAAATAAGTGGGGAAAATTAAAACTTGAATCACTAAATACAGTAAGCTGCTCATTTACTGATTTGTTTTTACAAACATAATGCATAGAAGGTTTTTTATGATTTTAAAACTGTAAAAAGTCTCATATGGTCACCAGTTGGTTACCAAAGTTTGACAATAAATACAATTATTTTATTGTATAATATTATTTTATTTTAAAATAACTGTTTTCTCAGCTATTTTCTTGTCTAGATAATGTTATTATGTCAAATTCAATTTTCAGCAGCCATTAGTACAGTCATGAGTGTCACATGAGCTTTCAAAAATGATGCTAATATTCTACTGTGGTGCTTAAGTAACTTTATTGTACATTATTCGCAATGTTAAAACGATCATGTTTAAACCAGGATTTTTTATAGGCTTAAGAATGACCAACAAGTCCAAAAGAAAAGTGTTAGATAGAAACAGTCATTGTTGTGATGGTACAAATATATTGAATGTCACTTCTGCTCAATTTAACATGTTCTTGCTGGTTAAAATAATACATTTTATGGGAAAAAATGCCTAAAATTTTATGGACCCACATTTGAATAGTAGTATCTCCATCTTGAAAAGCCTGGAGATTCAGGGTATGTTTATTCAGTGTGGCTTAATTGTTTTTTAGAGGCTGGCATTTACAAACAATTGATTCTGTATGCATGGCTAAGCTATTGGTTTTCATTGATTGCTGTTGCAACTTTTAGACAATCGATAATGAGCTATGATACACAGAAACATTATCCGTCTGTATTGATGCTTTGAAAAGGAGCCTGATGAATAAAAACCAGGTCATTTAATATAATTTCACCCAGATTTCCTCACAATCGGGCCACTCTGGTTTCAGATAAGTCCAATGGATCAGTGTGCCATTCATGTCAGGATGGCATTTATTGGAGTTTATTCATTCATTTATTCATTTTCTTTTCGGCTTAGTCTCTTTATTAATCTGGGGTTGCCACAACGGGATGAACCGCCAACTTATCCAGCACATGGTTTATGCAGTGGATACCCTTCCAGCTGCAACCCATCACTGGGAAACACCCATACACTCTCATTCATACGCATACACTACGGCCAATTTAGCATACCCAATTCACCTATAGCGCATGTCAACTGTGCTGACTTGAAAGTGTGTCTGAGAGCACAGAGCTGAAAAAAAAAGATATCTGTGTGCATTGTGCACATGGCTTTCCATCTACTGTGACAAATCAGTGGATCCTACTCTAACAGAACAGCCAGTACTCCTCTAATACAATTGTGTTCTGGCGCTTTTCTCTGGGAAAGGGAAATATTCTGACACTGTTTCCCCTGAAGACAGAACAGCGTGTGTTGACATCTGCAATGTGCCACGGTGGAAGTGACAACAGATGAAGCCGCCACTATGGCTGGCTGACACACAGCCGTTATTGCACACTGTAAAGCAAACTGGAACCTCTTGCTGTTTCTTCATTACTGTTATGTCTTAAAGCAGCAGGCTATTTATTAGGGTTAGATCCCGTCATGACACCAGTTGTTAGCATTATAAACAGCCTCTGCTCACAAGCTGAGACGTCACAGGTCATTCAAGGTGCTTTATGATTAGCTGTCAGATGACCGCAGAGAACTGTGTGAAGATGAACCTGAAGTACACAAAGCTTCATTTCGACACAGACTCTGAACATAAATGTTTAGAGTGAAGAGTTAAGATGGATTTTTAGTAAAAGAATGAGATTTTGATTTATTAATGGATATAGTGGAGGATTTGTCTGACTGATTTAAACCAGGAGCTATTTTTTTTTTTTGAGTTATTATTTTAAAGTGACTTACGATAGTCTTCTGCTCATGAATCACACTACACCATACCTGCCAACATTTGTCTCTGCAAATCCGGATGACCGGGGGTAAGGTTCGGGGGCGAGGTGTCTAAATAACACTGTTGAGAATCGGGTACTATGTACTGTGGTGTTAGTAACTGTACTATGAAGTGTGTTTTGGGCGGCCGCTGCCATCGGATCCTATGCCAATGTTGGCGACCATGGGGTTTCACAGATCGTACCAAAATGCTGAGTACCACTGAAGGGGTTGAGCCTGAGGGGAAGGGGGATGGGGGGATGTTTGAAATTACGGGAGTTTTCCAGGAGAATTAATAAAACGGGAGGGTGGCAGGACTACTACTGCTGTTTAACTGTTGTTACTTTAATTTTTTAATTTCTGAACAAATTCAAGAGTATTTTTTTATTGCTAAAAACATTTATTAGAAATGCTGTCATTTTCTATGATTGTTCTGAAGACACAAAGTGAGAAACAATTGAGTTCTAGAATTGAACCTTTACTCTAGGAAATGCTGGGTTATTTAAATCAGTATTGGGTAAAATATGGACAAACCTAAACATTAGATTAAAATTTGTCCTAAAAATTTTATTTAGAAAATAAACCCAGCAGTTGGTTTAATCTGTATTAAACGCAGATATGGGTTGAAATAACCCAGTATTTTATGGATCAAATAACCTACTACACCCTGTGTGAAATGGTTTTGTCTTTTTTACGTTTTTATTCCAAATACTAAGCATATGACAACAGAAATGCATATTACTACAACTAGGGAAGTATTCTGAAGACGTTGGCAGGAACTGACATACAATCATATAACACTAAAGCTTGTAACCATTGCTGTGTGGATAATTTGAAGGTAACAAGGCATATTATTAAGATATCTTAGTCAAGTAACTCCCCAGATTCTTTCCTTCCTCAGAGTAGCTTTTCCTGATTAAAAGACTGAATATCCCTGCACTACACACTTCTGAGACTCATAATCAACTTAAATGGTTAGCTGGGCTGTGGTTTGTCTCCTCTGCCCAAGTCTGTTTGGCCAATACCTTTCATTCATTCATGAAGAAGAAGAAATTAATTTATTTCAAAGTAATTGATTCATTCATTCATTCATTCATTCATTCATTCATTCATTCATTCGTTTATTCAGAAGAAACTCATTCATTCATTAATTCAAAAGAAACTTAATTGTTCATACAATCAGAAAAACCCCACTGCTTTATTCAGAAGAAGAAACGTATTTATTCATTCAGTAGAAACTTATTCATTAAAAAAAAACATTAATTAATTAATTCATAAACTCATTCATTCAGAGGAAGAAACTCATTCGCTCTTTCAGAAGAAACTCAATCATTTATTTATTCATTCAGAGGAAATTCATTCATTCACAAGAAGAATCTCATTCATTCATGCATTCATTCAGAAGAATCTCATTCAGAAGAAGAATCATTAATTCAGAAGAAGAATCACATTCATTCATTCACTCAGAAGAAACTAATTGGTTCATTCATTCATTCATTCAGAAGAAGAAACTAAATTTTTTTATTCATTCAGAGAAAGAAATTAATTCATTCAGAAAAAGAATCTTCATTCATTCATTCATTCATTCATTCATTCATTCATTCATTCATTCATTCAGAGGAAGAAACTCATTTGCTCATTCAGAAGAAACTCAATTGTTTATTCATTCAGAAGAAACTCATTGATTGATTCATTCATTCATCCAGAAGAATCTCATTCATTAATTCATTCAGAGGAAGAAAATCATTAGTTTATTCAGAAAAAAACTTATTGATTCATTCATTCATTCAGAAAAATCTCATTCATTCAGATGAAAAAACTCATTCGTTCATTTATTCATTCATTCAGAGAAAGAAACTCTTTCATTTATTCATAAAAGTTTATTTATTCAAAAGAAAATCATTGATTCATTCATTTATTCAGAAGAAGAATCTCATTCATTCACTCATTCAGAAGAAACTCATTCATTCATTCAAAAGAATCATTCATTCCTTTATTCATTCATTCATTCATTCATTCATTCATTCAGAAGTAGAAACTCATTTAATCATTAAAAAGCATATTAATTTATATAAAAAACCTATTCATTTAGAAGTAATTCATTCATTCAGAAGATGAAGAAGAAGAAGAAATTTGGATTCATTTCAGAAGAAACTCATTCATTCAGAAGAATTTATTTATTTACCCATTCATTCATTCATTCATTCATTCATTCATTCATTCATTCATTCATTCATTCATTCATTCATTCATTCATTCATTCATAAGACATTAATTTTAAGTGTGCAGGGATTTAAGTTTGAATTGCTTGTCCTTAAATGATACCAGGCGATTACTGTGTTATTAAACACACAAAGTTGCTGATCCCATGTGAGACCTATAAATATGGTCTTTCTGCCACGCCTCTTGGCTTTCGACATCATAGCCTGCCTGGAAGTTTTCCCCAAAACACAGAGGCTGCCTGTGCAGACGACGGGCCAGGGTAACTGGAGCTTTCAGTCTGTGTGTGTGAGGATGAATGTTACCTCTGAGGTGAAAAGGGCAGCACTGGAGCAGGACTGGAGGAAGTGAAGCACAAGAAAGAGAGATGGTAGGCAGGGAGGGAGCAGAGAGTACGTTACTCCTTTTTCTCCATCCCCCTTTCCAACCATTCATCTGCCCACTGGCTTGAAAAGCCTCGGACTCTTTTGCGAACATGTGGAACACATTTAACCACCTCGGCTTCGCCCACACGAGCAGTCTCCACCCTCCTTTCTTTCACTCTTTTCCAGGCTTTCTGCACACTCTGACTATGATGCCTGCACTGAAAAACATATTGGTGTTGGAGAAACCATTTTCACAGAAATTGCTAGTTCATATTAAAAAGGATTATAAAGAAATGGGAAGTAACACGTTGGATTAAGCAAGAAATTGTTGATGTAGAAAGACAGAAATGTTATTTCCATGTAAACCCTTTTCCAATAATCAGACGGACGGGCGGGCGGGCGGGCGGATGGATGGATGGAACAATATTAAAAACATTTATGATTAACAATTATGCTTTTGAGTAAAACAGTTTTTTAATTATTATGTAAACTACTGATAAGATTTGTTCAAAATTGTAAAGAAAAACTGTAAATAAATTATATGTTATATTTTTTGCATAATATAACAACAAATATACCATGTTAATACTACAACAGAAATACTATCTTTTAGACATTTTTATTCCCAGATAGGTTTTCTGTATGACAGTGGTCCCATGTTAATCCTGGGAGTTACTTTCTAAAAATAATCCGCAATGGGCAAAATCCGCGAAGTAGTCCTCTTTTATTTTTACATTTATTATAGATGTTTTAAGACCGTAAAACCCCTCACTCCATACTTTATACACTTTTCTCAGACAGGCATTAACATTTTCACACTTCTCTCATTTGAATACTCTCAAAAGTTTTTCAAAGTATTATAAAAAAAAACATTTGATCGCCTTTTATTTATAACGTAATGGCGCCCTACAGCTGCGTAACTTCTACCTTCCTTTAGCATGTCCAGAAGTTCAACTTTTTGTGCGATGGTTAGCATCTTCTTCTGCCTTTTTGTACCGCATGTGCCTTTGACGGTGCAGAACGTTTCGTTGACAATGCAAGCAGAAAACTTGCAAACACACAGTATAAAACTACAAAGTCACACTGCTAACGATCAAAGATTTTCGTAAATTTGGCAAGATAAACGCATTCTGTACATGGCATGGAGGAAATTGATTGAAAGTGGTCTACAGCCAATAAGGACGCAGAATATAATGCGATAATCAGGGCGCCGAACTCAATGCGAAAAAAGCATGTCAAACTTCACAAAACAAATCTGCAAAACTGCAAAACAAGGCTGCGAAAAGTGAACTGCTTTCTAGCAAGGGACCATTGTGTTGTGCAGTATAAAAAATTTTCATAGTTTAAACTTTTAAATGCAACAGTAAAAATGTGTAATATACACAGTTAATAACCGTAAGTTGACTTTACCTTTTATTTCTTTTTGTTGACATTACTATGTTTTTAAAAATAAATAAATATATGATGTATAGATTTTCACACTTAAAGACACTGGTGTATAAAATACAGTAGTTTACCATAAAACGTAGAAAATTCTTTTATGGTTTCTACTAGAGCTGCACGATTCTGGCTAAAATGAGAATCGCGATTTTTTTTATTTATTTATTTTTTTGCCTAAAATAAAGATTATGATAATCTCACCATTCTGTACATGTAAAATAAAGGTTAATATGAGTTTGATATTATTATTGTTATTCTCAAACATGTGGTAAAACAGCGATGGGCTTTGTGTAGCTGTACTGTTGGTTAAAATGCTACATCTTGTATAGACTTGGAATGGTGGACTTGAACAGACTTTAGATTTGTCCTGGTCATTAATGCTGATGATAATTCTGATGTTGAATTATTGTGTTATTGTGTCAATCTGTAATTTTCTGCTTAAAATCTGTCACTGATGTGATTTTTATGAATACAGAATACTGGGTGTGGGTATTTTTGCATTTCGGCGGGTTTTGGATACTTTTTGGGCTGGAATCGGTCACCTATCTGGCAACACTGTGTGCGCTTTCGGTTTCGTTTTCACTGCTAAGAGTGGTTCACTTCCCACGTGGCTCCCAAACGATCACTTTGTGCCACAAACTAAATGTTATTTACAACTTTATCACCTGTAATTCACAGCCTATTGCGGTAATGTTCACTAAAGTAGACTTTATTCAGCGCGTGCACGCCCTCTTTGTAATAACAGCTCATGGTCCGCTCACGTCACGTGTGATTTTGCGGTCGCAAATACATGACATGAAGACAGACATGACCTTTTTGGGATGAATTGTATCTTATAAATACAGCATGTGACTCTTTCAACACCATTTGGAGGTGTCCACGTTGCTGACCAATGTATGTAAAACAATGTGTAGACTTGTGCGGCCACTTTTGCTTCTTTCCTGAACTTGAAAATATGATTGACAGAATCGTATAAATGCTGGATTAAGATCGTCTAGGGGGTCGAATCAAGATTGCGATCTTTTTACGATTAATTGTGCAGCTCTAGTTTCTACCTTATTTTTTACGTTAAAGTGCTGACAACCACAGCTGCCATTTTCTTTCACCGTAAAATCTTTGGGATTTTTTTGATAGTGTACACCACCTGACAAAAGTCTTGTCACCTATCCAAGGGTCAGGAACAACAAGACAGAAAGACAAAGACAGAAAGACAAAGGCAAAACACTTACTTTACCAAAATAAACTATGATTATGTCTTGATTTTTCATTATTTAATTAGGACGGTAATGTCTGTCTTTGCTTAGACAAAAATCTTGTCACTTAACTGAAATAATGTACAGTATAGAATGTAAAGTCATGTTGTAGTGGAAAAAGAAGTACTATTGTGTATGAGTCCCATGAGCTTGGAGGACTGCATCCATACATCTCTGCAGTGACTCAAATAACTTAATAAAGTCATCTGGAATGGCAAAGAAAGCGTTCTTGCAGCACTCCCAGAGTTCATAAAGATTCTTTAGTTTCATCTTCAATGCCTCCTCTATCATTTTACCCCAGAAATGTTCAATAATGTTAATGTCTGGTGACAGGGTTGGCCAATCCTGGAGCATCTTGACCTTCTTAGCTTTCAGGAACTTTGATGTGGACACTAAAGTATGAGAAGGAGTGCTATCCTGCTGAAGAATTTCCCCTCTCCTGTGGTTTGTAATGTAATGGGCAGCACAAATGTTTTGATATCTCAGGCTGTTGATGTTGCCATCCACTCTGCAGATCTCTCGCATGCCCCCACACTTGAATGTAACCTCAAACCATGATTTTCCTTCTCCAATCATGACTGATTTCTGTGGGAATCTTGGGTCCATGCGAATTCAAATAGGTCTTCTGCAGTATTTGTGATGATTGGGATGCAGTTCAAAGGATGTTTAATCAGAAAAAGTCTACCTTCTAACACTTTTCCAAATGAGTAAGTAAAAGTCAAGTTATTATTTGTTACTCTTAAAACTAGGATTGACCACAAGACTTTTGTCAGGTAGTGTATATAGTCAGTCTCACAGTTGTGATCACCATCTACGCCAGCGTTGAAAATCAAACTCGTTTCTGCATTATTACTAATTTATATGACATCTTATAAGTCTAAAAACTACAGTAATGTAACTGCATCCTAAAAAGCTTCATCACACAGACAAGGCTTTTGTTCCCTTAAGATGAGTTTTATTTTTTCAAAATGACTGATATACTTAATAATGTCAGCCAGCACTTTACATTGCATTATATTATTAAAGTCATTTAACTCAATACCTGCTATTATGAAGGCAGAGGATGAGCTCTCCACGTCACATCAGAGAGAAGGTGCTGTCACTCAAACAGCTGAAAGCGTCTCAGAGGTTCCACTGCTCTCTGCTGCTTTGATGTAAGAGATGTAAAGGCCAGCTTGGCTCATGTGGGATTGTTATTTTATTTATATACAGTGCATTATATCAGTAAGCCACAATGGAATTTTATAGACTGAAACAGGTGTCTCGAAATCAGGTGCAGTTGGGGATCCATGCAAGCCTACGAAAATAAAATGGCATTGTTTACACAGTTCACTAAAGCACTGCATTATACATTAGCAAACACTTTTCATCACTGCAAAAAGTAGCATTTAGTATCATTATGAATGTCAGATCAGTCACTTTAGATCAGTTACTTCAATAGTTCTACTAAAGCACTGTGTTATACATAAGCAACACACCTGTCAACCCTCCTGTTTTTTTTTTCCGTGTTTTTCCCGTATTTTCAGTTTTTCTATGAAGGGTGGCAATAAACATTAAAGGTCAATCCTTCCTATACGACAACCTATACCCCCAAACCACCAGGGGACGCCCCTTTCTCCTAAAGGTGAATCTGATCTGTGCTTTCATTATATTTAGGCATGAAAACACTTTGAAATAAATATAAAAACAGCGTGATTCACGCTGTTGCCCTGCCTATGCATCCTTAAAACAGTTAGTTCATGTAGTGTTGTGTGACTGTCCGATGCACTCCATGTTGATAAATAGACGCTGTCTCACAAATGGAATCTGTACACATGATTTGAAGTGGAGCTAAAGTGCACATTGGGGTTCGGGTGTGTGTTTGAACAGACATATATTAATTCTCTTTATTCCAGACACTTGGTCCCATAGTACAAAAGACAGACAAAACAATACAAACCACACGATATACATTAAAATAGACAGTTATGCCAATATTTTATTAAGACTGACTGAAAGGGCACCTCAGTAAGCCTAAGATTTATCAATAACCTTAAAAAGCTATTCTGAAATTTCTCTAACTGACAGAAACTTATAGATCAAATTTCTCATCAAAGGAAAAAATGCTCTTACGTTACAAAATAATTCACTTGCACTACACTATCTTTTTATTTTATTTTTTTAAATCCTCAAACAATCATTGTATGCACCCTGCAGCTTATGGAAACTTTTTTTAAATATTATACCACAGAGGAGCTGTGTATAAACAACTGCAGTAAGGTCTAAAGAAGTTTACCTTAACCTGCTCTGAACACAAATAAAACTCTCAACAGCGTATTTGCTTGAACATATAATATTTAACGTTCCCTGTACATGTCATTACACACATATATACGCATAATACACATAATACTACTACTACTACTGCTAATAATAATAATATTAACATCTAAAGTGAATCTTGGTGCCTTTTCTTATAAACACAACAAATTTGGTCTCAAGTGAGCATAAAAATTAAGGAAAGCCATCGAATGCTTTCATTATAGATGTGTGCGTTTTTAAAGTGTCTCTGTTATTTAATGTAATCAAACGAAATCTAAATAAGAGTTTCATTCACTGCTCTTTAATCAAAATGTTTAAATTATACAGTAAAGAAAAGCTTAATGAGATTTGATAACTTAATTCAATTTCTTTATAATACCTATTAATTTTAATATACTAAACTGTTTGATTTATTTGCAGTTTTTAATGCCTACTATTTCTTCTATCGTTTGTAACTAATAATAATAATAATAGTAATCATAATTATGAAAAAAACATATTACTGACCGTTTCAACTGTTAGTTAACAATGAAATAAGGGGTTATTCCTTATTTTCACATCCTAATGTTGACAGGTGATTAGCAATCACTTTTCATTATTTATTAGCATTTAGTATCATTGTAAATGTCTGATCAGTCACTTTAGATTAGTTTAAAAATAAAGTTGTTCATTTGTTTAATAATATATATTTACCATCTTTAAGCTTTGGAATGGTTGTCAAGTTTTTAAAAACTCTCCCCATTTTCACCGTGTTCACGTGGGCTTCCTTTAGGTGTTCCGGTTTCCCCCATATAGTTTAAAGACGTGGTATAAGTGAATTCGGTAAACAAAATTGGTCGTAGTGTATTAGTGTGTGTATGCATATGAGTGTTTATGGGTGTTTCCCATTACTGGGTTGTGGCTGGAAGGGCATCTGTTGCATAATACATATGCTGGAATAGTTAGCGGTTCATTCCGCTGTGGCGACCCCCTGACAAATAAGGGACTAAGCTGAAAGAAAATTAATTAATGAACGGATTCTGACACAATACATTTATTTGATTATATATGGTTGAGAATTAGCTACATAGAAATTGCTTGGCTATAACATTGGTTATAGAAATGTATAATGAATTGAATTTAGGTCTGCTTTCATGCTGAGTGCAAGAACTGTGTTGTGTTTAGAAAGGAAAAATGTTTGTATCAGACTGTGACAGGGTATGATGTTGTTATACATTTAAAAGATCGGCTCATCTGTATTCGTCTTCATCTTGGATGGTTATGTCATTTTCAATCAAGTCACTCAGAAGCAAAAGAAAAGAGGAAACATAGAGGAGCTCGAAATGAGAAGTGACCCCTGTGCTTCAACTGAATGAAATCACCAATGCAAATCCATTCACTTTGACAGTCAAATTCTGAAAGGCGCCCACAATTATAGCTTTATCCTGACCAGCAGATTTCTGAATGCCATTGTAAGTCAGAGTTTGGTTTTTCATTCACACGTTGAACAATCTTTTAAAAGGACAGTTGTGAAACTTTTTGAATTACATACATTGTCAGACATGATTGCCACGATTTAGGCAACAAATATTTATTTGTCACTCTATAAAGAGAAGCAATGTTAAAAGAGGAGAAATGTGTCAAATATATTTGTGGTAACTGCCTTTATTAGTTTTTATTACTTCAAAAAATGGTAATCTTAGTTAGAGTCTCATTTCTACCCCACATATTTAAAAATCCGTGAATCAAGACACATTTTCTAGACAAGTAAAAAAAATATTGTCTTGTTTTCAGGAACATGTCAAATTTAAGCTAGTTTAAAAAAAAAAAAGCAAAATAATCTGCCAATGGGGTGAGCAAGATATCTTTAAAAAAAAAAGTTTAAAAACAAAGATTTTTTTGTTTACCCCATTTGCATATTAATTTGCAAGGAAAGGTGCAGTTCATTTTGGCTTATTATTTCTGAAAATAAGACAATATTGTTAGCTTTCCTTGCATACTTAAGATGTGTATATAAATAGGATTTAAGAACATTTAGATATTTGGACTAGAAATTAAACAAAACTGTGTGGTAGAGAAGTGAATTGTTGTTGTGTGCAAATGCAAATAATATGTTTACACAGACAAATGTATTATTTTCAGTTGGTCTTTATGTGAGCCAGAATGCCTTTCTGTTTGGAGTTTGCATTTTTTCTATGTTTGCATGGTGCTCGGGTTTCCCCCACAGTCAAAAGAAATGCAGTATGGGCCAATTGGATAAAGTAAGTTTGCCATAATGTGTGTGTGTGTCTGTGTGTGTCTGTGTGTGTCTGTGTCTGTGTGTGTGTGTGTGTGTGTGTGTGTGTGTGTTTGTGTGTATTTGTTTGTGTGTGTTTGTGTGTGTTTGTGTGTGTGTGTGTGTGTGTGTGAATTGAAAAGTGTGTGGTACAAAAAGTCTTTAGGTAGGCAACAGTACGGGGTTTCCATTTCTTCTAAAAAATACCTGAAATATTGATTCATCTGAGCACAGTACATTTTTTTTTTACTGTGTGCTGGTCTCGGAGATGCCTCCAAGCTCAGAGAAGTCAACGGTGCGTTTGGATACTGTTAATGTAAGGCTTCCGTTTTGCACAGTGCAGTATTAATATTCCAAAATGTGTCTTTTAGAAAGGTGTAGGACTTCTGTTTGGAGATTTTAGTTTCAAATTTTTATTTCAGCCCAATATAGCCTGTATTGTAGGTCACTATAACCACGCGGGTTGTCAAAAGGATTGACTTCGGTACCAGTAGACGTTGAATTTTTTTTACATTTTTTTATGATTTATTTAACATTTTTTCATTTTACAAACATATCAAACAACCCTTACAGAAATAATATTAGAAAAAATATATATATAAATACAAATAACATATTGATAAAAAAGTGAATTAATAAATTAATTAATTAAAATAAAAAAAGAAGATAATAATAAAATAAAACCAAATGAACAAATAATGCGAGGCAGATGTCTACATTTTATACAGTAATCATGAATTTTTTTAAGTAATTAAATTTTTTGCTAACATTTGCACGCTGATGACCTCAGAGCCAATGACAGTCATATCTGTTGAGCATGTGATCACAACAACCAATCAGAGGTGTTTAAGAACAAACTGAACGGTGCTCAGATGTTATTTAAAACACAGCAGAAAGTCATTGCTTATTTCAACAATTGGTAGTAGGAACCGTGCAACCTCTTAAAAAAATTTGTCACACTTGCAGGAAAAAAGGTTACTTAATGCATTCATCTACTCACCGTCTTGAGCCCTGTATGCATGCCATGTTTAGTTCTCTTGATAAATCTGTTATTTCAAAGAGGTTTGTAGAAAAGTCCAGAGCAACACCTCATTACCTTCTCTAGAGCAGCTGTAGGTGTTTTTAAAGTTTGTCTGTGTTTTTACAATAAGCCCTGATTGGGTTGTATAGGTGGAAAGGAGCAGATAGAAGAAGAATCCTGTCTTATCTGTGCTGACTTGTTTGTTTTCCTCTCCTTTGGGACATCGTTGTCGGAATAGTTGGTTGAAAGTCCATTTTTCCCCTCTTAGATCTTCACTGTTGCCCTTTCGTTTCATCCTGCAGTTTTAAACAGCCTGTTGAGACATGTCTTTTTATACAGTCTCAATTTTCAAGTCACGCGCGTTCATCTATGTTTCAGGTTGGTATTGTTGTTGCTTACTCCCATGATCCTACCATCAGAGAAGGAAGTCAAGCTGTGCTACATCTCCAATGATGCTTTCTTCTTGATCAATTCAGGATTTGACATTTAAAACCTCATAGTTTTTATGATCTAAAAGTGGGTTTGAGCAGGTTAAAAGAAAATCAATGTGTTAAAGTCTTTTGCTTATTGAATGTGATGGTATTTTGTTTGTGCATGCATCTCTTACGAAGCTGATCGATTTGTATTGATCTCCTGTCTGTGTGTTTTTATTCAGATAATTGTGCTTATGTCAGGTGGTTCTATAGTGTGTGTGTGTGTGTGTGTGTGTGTGTGTGTGTTCTGCTAGTTTTTGTATTTGGCATCTAGTGTCTACCTTACATTGATGTAGCTTTGGTCTGTAGTTCAGTGCTTATCACTGTCATTCTCTTTAAACAATCTGTTTTTCTGTATAATTTCCTTTAAATAGCACCTGGTCCGAAATCGCTGACTCAATGGTGTTGTTATGCCATATTTACTTAGGGTGCACTCACACTATGCTATTCAAACCATTCTTGGGTGCATTTTCCGATTCGTTTGACTTGTGTGAGTGCTCCGAATTGGGTTTAGGCACAGTTCACTTGGCTGGCCTTGGCCCGGTTGGAAGAGGTGTGTCACAGTGCGGGCGGTTTGGCTTTGGCGCGGTATGCTTGTAGTTTGAGTGCAAAGTGCACCTGAGCCCAAAACTGAAGATGCAATGTCACTTTTAGGGACCGTTTCATGTGAAATTATTAATCATTCATACTTTACAATAAACCCAAACTATCATAGTTTATTAAAGATGCAAACCCCACTCTGTACTTCAGCTACACCTTTAGCCAACCTCCTAATACGTGTAGCATGAGGACTTTTAGGATAATTGTTTGTGCGTCAAAAGTTGTGGATCTTTTCTGCAAAATATTTGACAAATGCAATATGAGTGCAGGCCGTTGGGGGAGAGGGGAGGGGGGGACAAGCGCGCTTCGGCAGGGTTCAAAGCAACTGTACCTAGTGTGAGCACGCCCTTAAATAATAAGTAGACCTAGACCAATGCAGAGTGATTTTAGATACCTATAAGTAAAGTCAAAACTAAAACCATTTTTGTTACTGAAAATGGAATAAATGTTAATTAAAATTAAAATAAATATGTAAAAAAGCAACATAAAAAGCTACACTCAAAAAATTGTTTGCTGTTACAACTACTTTTTTTTTAAATAAACTGAAACAGCACAATTATTGAGTTTTATTTTGGGATGATTTATTGGTTTTTACAAATCTAAGTGGATTGAATCTAAAACAAATAAGTTAACTTAATTTCTTCATTGTTGACCACGTACGTTGTTCTTCTGATTAGAAACCGCAATCAGGGGCCCGGGCTGTTTTGGGCCCCCCAGAGATACTATTACTGTTGAACAAATCTGATTGGCTAGCATCTTTACTAGTATATTTGTATGTGGGCATGGAATGATAACTGGTGTCAAGGTTTACTGCGGTTTGGAAAAGTCAAGGTTTTAAAACTGTAAAAAAATTCTGTTTTTCTGTTCTTATGGTATATGTGTGTTTTTTTTTATATGCAAGTTGTTGTTGTTTTTTTATGCCTTTTCAAATTGTCAAGAAATTGATGTTTTTGAAACTAATGAAGACCCCAAAAGTTAATGGTTTATTTAATTGATTCAGCCTGACATGTTTACTGTATCAAAAAATTTGAAATGTTTCTTAAAACAAAATATATTGTGTTCAATGGCATAAAAGTTTTTTTTTTACCCAAACATTTAAAATGAACATATTTAAGAGCAGTAATCACAATAATGTGGTACCAAGACATTTTTATCCAAGGTTATCATACCAAACCGTGCCTATTTGTATGACACAAGCTATGTTTCTATCCAAAAATGCGAATTAACTTTATTCGCAAAACTGGATTATTGCATAAAAGATGTGCGAATAAAGCAGCGTTTCCATCCAATGAGTCAAAGAGAACAAAATCGTCACTGATTAACTGTCGCCAAATATCAACAGCGAAAACGAAATTTGCTGCGATAAGAGAAGCTGCATGAAATTTTTTTTTCAGTTAATAAATGACTTGCGCCTCAGAAGACAATCCTGACATGCAGTGAAATTTGAAGGCGTGAGACACAAAGCACAGACTCTTGATTCTGGAGGTCATTAATAATATATTAACACTAATACTGAAATGGTTAAGGCATTTTAGAATGACCAAAACAAAATTTCAGATGTTTTACAGTGTGCTCAGCCTGCTGGTTTGTCCATTCACACATATTTTTATCATCACATGATCTCTTATAACAAAATCACATGACCTTTTTAAAAGCGCATACTGGAATTTGTTCGATAAAAGTGCTTTTATTGTAGTTTATGTCCATCTTTTATCGAATAAAGTTTATTCTACTCAGTTATGCACATGTATCAATGTGGATTTTCAAAATTTATGTTCATCTTGGTGTTTCCATCACCAGTTTATTATGCGCATATCCAAAATACGCATAAAAATAGGTGGATGGAAACAGCTTGATTGACTGAAGCCTGCAATTGACTGATGCCTGCATTGGCTCTTGAAAAGTTAAATGTTTTTAACAAAGGTTTTTGCCATGAGCAAAAAATCCCAATGCAACTAGACAGACCCACAATTCTGTTTGGCAAATCTTGATGTTACTCCATTCAAAGTAAATGAGAAGTGTCAAATTATGTAAAATTATGTTCTAAATAAATGCTCTTCTTTCTATACAAGGAAATCCATCTTGATTTAAAAAAATAAAATAAAAATCACACAAACAAATAATAATAAGAGTTCTGAACATCCATGTAACCCTTCAGACTGGAATAATGACTAATACAACTTCATCACCTAAAGTATCAGTAACCTTCTAAAATATTTAACATAAAAAAACAAAAAAAAACATTTGTTTGAAATTGTAACTTTTAAAATAGTATTACTGTTTGTTTTTTGACAATAATGGAATGGTGTCTATGTGTTGGGTGAAGTGGTTTGAAAGTGTCAGAATCTGTATGTGTGTTTGCTCAGATAGGGGTCAGAGGTCTTATGTGGATGGTGAGGACAGCTGACCCCACTCACTGTGTGTGTCTAGTTGAGTGTTATGGGGATTAACTACAACAGCTAAAGAAATAGACAGGGTCAACAATCTTGTCCTGTTGTTTTTGCAGTTGTGCTTGCTTGAATCAGCAAAGTGAGGAGAGCGTGTTGCTGACAACACAACAAAAAGGTTCACTCAAATTTAATCAAAGTTTTCTGTATAGGGCTGCATGATACTGGGAAAAAAATTATTTTTTTACTATTTAACATTTCTCGAAATGCGCTATTTTTATTTGCTCTGTTTTAAAATAATTTACGTATATAATGATATTTAAATAAACAGCTAAGATATATATTTTTAGATTTAATTAATATACCCTTTCGTGAGTTTGAAGTACTCCATCTGACCCTCCTTAGTCTTTAATTGTGATCGTTACTTAGAATCCATTGCCTGTTAAAGTCTCAGTGGTGACTAGTCAAGTTTAACACGTCACCCACCAGCCCCAATGATCTATGTATATTTAACAAATGTTCCGATTATATTATGAAATTTCTCATACTCCGATTCTCAAATATGTGATAGAACATATAAAGAGTTCTGATGCAAAAACCTTTAGGTGCCATCTAGAATTTTCTTCTACAATGAGCATTTTTCTCTAATGTTTTTTTAATTATTTCATGTTAAAATTGTTGAAAATAACTTATTCTTTGCCATTCTTTGTTTAATAGAGCAAAGAAATTTTCACAGTATGTATATTTTTTTTCGAGAGAGTCTTATTTATTATTTTTTTATTTTTTCGACTAGAATAAAAGCAGGTTTTAATTTTTTAAACACCATTTTAAGGACAAAATTATTAGCCTTTTTAGGCTATTTTTTTTCTTGATAGTCTACAGAACAAACCATCATTATACAATAACCTAGTTTTTAAATGTCACTTTAAGCTGTATTAAAGTGTCTTGAAAAATCAAATAAAATATTATTTACTGTCATCAAAACAAATATAAAATAAAACAGTTATTAGAAATGAGTTATTAAAACTATTATGCTTAGAAATGTGTTGAAAACGAACCAGCAACCTTTTTGCTGTGAGGCGAGAGCGATACCCACTGTGCCACCATGCCACCCGATACTCACGCCAATATAGCATCATTTATGTGACACTGTGCAACAAATTATATTTTTTTACATTACTGTGAGAATTGGGTTTAGGGTTGAGGTAGGGGTAGACGTTAATAAAATACAATAAATGCATAATTTAATAAATAATATAACATTTTTGTTAACTTGTGATCGCAGCTGTATCCCTTCTAGCAACATCCTCAGGACTGATCCGAGCTGGTGGATTTGTGTTGTTTATTCATAATAACAGTTTATCTGGAAGAGGAATAAAGAAGATATTCTAGTAACATAAACAGTGTATATCTTACATGAATATGTCCAGTTATATATATATATATATATATATATATATATATCAAATTGTCATCTCCATAGACATCCGCGGTTCTTACTGTGCCTCGGTGCGTGCCGTCCCATTTGAATTTTAGAAGTTGATGACGTGCGATTTGAATGTTCTAATTGGTGTAATTGTACGCTTCAGAGACCAGCCAAGGTTGATCACACCAGTGTGATCACACGTATAAAAGGGTTAATACAAATATTTGGTCTTTAAAACACTGAGTCAAAACCTCTTCTGACTCTAATTGGCTGCCATCATTTTCCTCTTGTTTTGACTCCTGATATTAATGTTTATATTTGGCTTTGGGTTCACAATTGGGCCATAACATCATTAAAAACGACCAATATAATGGTAATATTGCGATATATTGTGCAGTCCTATTTTTTGTCACTTTGTCTTTCTGATGTGAATGATGCAAGTCCACATGCAACACTTAAGCAAAGATAAGGTTCTAAATTGGTCACTCTTGATAACTGAAATAATACTAATGTATTCAAAGCTTTGCCTTAAAAGTGTTAAGGAAAATTGAATGTGAAGGTGCCTGGGCGAATTTCCATTATCCACAAGAATTTGATCTCTCAGTGGCCTTTTTAGCATAATTAGTCCATTTATGGTCAGTAGTAGAAAAAAGTCTGCTTGCGCCCAAATGCTGGTATTCTAATGAGGTTTAGCCTCAGGATGAACAGTGTAAGCCAAGCGTTTTGTGTTCTGAGTGGAAAAGACAGAGCGCATTCATTTTATGTGTGTATGAACACACAAGCAGTGTTTAAATCATCATTATGAATGAGGTTATGGATATGGATAGACTGTTAAAGCTCTTTCTAATTAAACTCTGATATGCAAGGGGGAGCCGGAGACTTGGAAAATGTTCCTCATTGCATGAGAGCCAAGCTTGAATCAAACAAACAGAACCCCCCAAAACCACAACCCTTTCTAAATCGGTGCGACGCATCTGAGAGTAATTAATGGCTTTTAAGCTTTTGACACGATTTATGATGTAATAGTTTGTTCCATTTGTGCAGAAAATTCATTTATCGTTATGCTGTTTAACACACTGTGAATACTTTTGTTTAG